GTTTCGTCGTTAGTACTTTCAATACCTTTTTGATGAAATAAATGCCTTAAGAGTGTTAAAGGCTAAAAAACGTATAGTAGCGTTCACAATAACAACAATAGCACTTTTTTGGTACTAAAATATTGATAGTGCATTAAGTTGTTGAATATGAAAAATAATTTTTTTTCAACAATAATCAGTATTGAACCCACTAAACATGAAGTAAAGTTATACAAATTCTTATAAATAACAATAATTTACAATAATATGATTAACAATAAATATCATTTTACACACCACCAATTCATTAAAGCTTTTATTAATGATCACAATTTGAAAATTTTTGTTTTTTAATTTTATTTTTGTGCTTAAAAATAATTGTTTGGAAATTACTAAGCCAACAGCTTTGAATTATTGCAGGTGTTTATTGTGGTAATTTTGCAAAAAAAAAAAAAATTTAAGTAACAAATAGGTGCAAAATCGTCGGGTTAATTAAGTAAAATATGTTTGTAATTATTAAAATGATTGAATTGTACAAATATTCTAAGCATTAAAATGTAGTTAGTAGTAGTAGCAAAAAAAAAAAAAAATAAATAAATAAACTCGTAAAAATTGTAAACAGAAAAATGCTTTGTAATGTCAATTAAATTGAAAAATAAACATTTGACAAAGCGGAATTAAATAACTATAATTAAATTTAAGTTATTGGCGAAAAGAAAGCAGTATCAAAGAAAACGAATTAAATTTAATAATAATATTTATTTTAAATTTAATAATAAATATTATTTTTGAATATAAATCTATGCCTGTGTATAACGATTTGTTCTTCAATAAAAAACATTTTGTTATTCTATAAGCATTTCGTGTACTAAATGGAATAAATGGATTTTCCACATTATATTACAACATTTTTTATGATTTTATTAGTTTAACAAAAGACACAATAGAACTAATGGACGTCATAAAATTATAGTCTTTTAAATTTCTATAATGAAAACATTAAGCGCTCTCTAGTACAGTTGTATAATTTTCGAATTAAAAATTGTAAAATCTTTCATTCAAAACATTACAAAGTATTTATGCCTTTTTAGTTGTAAAATTATATAGCACTACATACATAGATACATATGTATCTGCTGTTTTTTTAAGAAAAAAACGTCTGTTTAAAATTGTTTTATGAAAATGAAAATATATTTTGGCATGATCCCGTATTATAAGTAAAGTACGACGATTCATGTTTATTAATACGGCAAAAGGGCGCTCAGTATAATTACTCATACGCCATGTAGAGAAGGATTATGATTTTGACTTTGATTATAATGCAGTAAAATTATCAATAATCTATTTTACTGAAAACAAAAAAAGGAAGGCATGGGGAAAGAAGAGGGAATTTATTTAATTATTTAATGTACTTAGTAAGTAGATTTTGATACAGAAAAGCGATGCAGAGAAATCAATGTTAGGGAAATGTGTATTAAAATAGTTACACAAAGATCTAAAAGGGTCGTACATTTCAAAGTTTGTTCTGCACGAGCCCAATCAAAGGGACCTAAAGTGTCTAGATGATCTTAACGGGATGGTAAAGTTAAGCTCGCAAATTAGGAAAGGGCTTTTCATAGCACCTCTTATCAATTTAGTCAAAAATAAAACTTCAAGTATATTTCTACGACTATGGAGTGTAGGCAGATTAATCAGCCGTAAACGACTTTTTTAAGAGGCAAGTTCTTGTTCGCATCCCAGTTTAAATATAATCTTAACGCGAATAATAGGAATTGCCCTTGTACAGATTCCAATTTATCACTATACAATTGGTAGTACGGACTCCATACGACTGAGCTATATTCCAAAATGGGCCTAACAAGTGAGGTAAAGAGTAATTTGGTAATGTAGCGGTTCTTGAATTCCTTAGCCCAACGTTTAATGAAAGCTAAAACTCCTTTTGCCTTATTAGCACAAGCATTTATATGATTTCTAAAATCTAGCTTAGGGTCCACTTAGGTGACACCTAAATAAATGAAGGCAGTAACTTGTCAGTAACACTGTGATTATGTATCATATAGGCAAAGGATTGATAATTTTTTCTGGAGAAACAAATATATTGTTCTGGACTATATTTAAGTCTGACACACAAACCTTTTCACCTGGTGGTAATTTTATTTCTTTAATTTCGAAAGACTGCAAAGTTATCCTTGAAGCAGGAATTCATTAAATTCATTTCATGATACAAAAAAAGGAAGAAAATTCCACTCGATATAAAATTGACAGAAAAATGTTTTTTGTTATTATATTTTATTTTCATTGTAACTTCCAGATATTGGCCAAGGCGAATTTATAGAAGGTGAAGTTTTCACATCATATGATTGCTTGTTCTTCCTTCGATTGCAACAAATTACACAAAAAAAAATTACATGAGAAATAGGTTGTGGCATTACGCACTTTTTATTACACCAACAAAATATATTGAACGTATTTCGTTTTTGACTTTTCTTAACTACGATTACAAAAACAAAATGCAAAGGCTTTTTGTTTTTGTATTCTTGCGTGTGCTAAGCTGCCTAAAAATAATTTTATGTCCATTAGATTTCAGTAAATACAATGCAAAACTCTTGGGTTTTTTAATTGGGTTAATTAATTGTGGGAACTTTTGATATGTGGGTACTTCATCTGACGACATCTGCTTAGACTAGTTTTTAAGCTTAACAAAAAAAAAAATAAAAAAAAATTTTTGCAAAATCGTACTCTTTCATCATTTGAGGTATTTTTTTAATAATTTTGAATTTTATTTTTCTTTAAACAAAAAGAAGTTAATTAGAAATTAAATATCAAAAGCAGGTGTGGTTGACCAAAAGTACTACATGTAGCACCATTTACAACAGCTGCTGAACAGGACAGCTCACCGACAGGCATTAAACGCCATTCACCGAGCGTCCGTCAATACCCTCCTCAACTCTCTTCCTGTGAATGGCGTTGTCGGAGTCAAACCACCACCTATTGCAAACGGTGAGCTCGAGAGACGAGAGGAGAGCTGCCTCGAGAGTCCCGTTATTGTTATTTAAAATTGATATTATTGTAATCTTACTATTATTATTATTATTAATTATAGCAGGTAGCAGATCGGCCGAAAATTGATTCAGAAGATACAAAGCGCCTATTATATGTATATATATATGTATATATTATTATTACTATTATTATTATTATTATTATTATTATTATTATTATTATTATTATTACTCTATTATTGTTATTAACGATTCTCAGTATCTTTATAATTATTATTATTTTTATCATTTTTATTACTATAACTGTTTTTAATAATAATACTACTATCATTACCAATTTCTTTTATTTTTATTATTATTATTATTAACTCTATTCATTTTTATTAATGTTATTATTATCACTACTTTTATTTATTATCAACTACTTTTATTATTAATTATAATCATTATTAACTATTTTTAAGATTTATTTATATTCGTATTATTATTAATTTTTAAAATTTATATTATTATTATAACTATTTTTATTTTTATTATTAATTTTTATTTTATCTGTTTTCATTATTAATTCAACTACTATTATTATTATCATTGTTTTTATTAATATTGTTATTATTGTTATTATTATTAGCCATTTTTAATGCTTTTATAATTATTATAATTACTATAACCATTTTTAATAATATTACTACTATCATTATCAACTACTTTTATTATTAATTATAATCATTATTAACTATTTTTAAAATTTGTATTATTATTATAACTATTTTTATTTTTATTATTAATTACTATTATATTTATTTTCATTATTAACTCAACCATTTACTACTACTACTATAATTATTATTATTATTATTATTATTATTATTATTATTATTATTATTATTGTTATTATTATTATTTTTATTATTATTATTAATATTATTATTATTATTATTATTATTATTATTATTATTATTATTATTATTATTAGCCATTTTTAATACTTTTATAATTATTATAATTACAATAACTATATTTAATATTATAATATTACTGCTATCATTATCAACTACTTTAATTTTAATTATTAATTAATATTATTATTTTTAACTATTTTTAAAATTTATATTATTATTATAACTATTTTTATTTTTATTATTAATTTAACCATTTACTACTACTGTTATTATTATTATTATTAATGTTAGAGAATTCACCCAAAATTTTCCTAAAATTATTTTTTCACATTTTCTTAAACCAACACAATCCACATTCCAGCCAATCTTCTTGAATTCATAAAAAAATTCAATTTACTATTTTGTTTGCCTTTGTCGAATAAATATACTCTTATTTCAAAAGCGGCAAATGCGCTAACAAATATTAAAGAGTCATTCATTTTCAAAGCCTTTTGGTGTTTGTTTAAGCGCAGTAATTTCTGGTGTTTTCTTAAACAAAAGTTAGCATTAAAAGATAACAAAAGAGACATCTTTTAAGTCCATCCAAACAACAACGCACATCAACATGTATGTATGTATGTATATACATAGATATGTATATGAATTATAATAAAATTGAAGAGTGAAAGAAAGTTCGACAAAGTACTTTTGTGGGATGATTTAGTGACCTTAATATGTTTGACACGTTATATATTTGTTTTAAATCACAAAAAAAAAAAAAAATAATTTAAAAAATATAAAATTACAACAGCGTTTGAAATTCAAAAAAAAAAATATATAATACATATACATATGTACATGTGTAACTCGTCTAATAAGTATTAATTTAATTTCTTCATACCACAAACACACACATGCACAAGCACAAAAACTGTTTAAATTCAACCAAAAAAAAAAAAAAAAAAAACAAATATTTCATATATTTTTTCAAAAATTTTTTAGCCTTCAGCCTTGGCTTGCCGTTCAATTAAATGCTTCTTCACGCACTTGCAAAATAGTATTCTCTAGCATTACAAGTGCATATTTTTATTGAGTACAACATTGAACAATAAGAATTTATTCTGCAACTTTGCTTTACCTTCTGCACACTGCCAATTCGATTGACCGTTCAATTTTACAAATAATTTACACTGTTATTCGCACGTCTATTACACTACTCCGCTGCTACTGCCCGTCGAAGCCAAGTCGTACCGCACGCTATGAAATTTTCAAACGTACTGACGCTGCAATTGGGCAAACTTTTATATATTTTACGGTTCAAATTTTACTAATTTATTTTTCAATTTGAGCCAAACTGCCAGCGCCGCCGTTTGATTGACTGACTGCTAACGGACAGTCAAAGCGTTACATTTTACGCTCTCCCACCAATAGTTAACACAACAGGTGTATCACACACACATTTACACATATATATATATGTATATATACTCGCGCATATGCAACTGAGAGCAACGGTGCTATGAAACTCAGTTGTAAACGAAGAAATGCCAACGTAAAGCGCACAAGTTGCGAATTTTGAAGCGTTCGTTTGTCGTTCGCTGTACGGGCAAAGTTTGCAGCGCGTGTTGCTTTTCGTTTAATGTAGTTGTGGTTGTGTTAGCTGTGAGTTTGTGTATGGAAAAAGTCGAGCCGATCGCATCGTTTGCGCATACTCAACGAAAGTTATAAGCCTTGAGTAAGCTTTAATGAAATTGTATACAAAGAGATGTTTATGTATGTATGTGCGGGCGTGCAACTCAACTCAGCTTATCACTTGCCCGTATTATTGTTGAAATCTACTCGAGGAAGAATAATAAAAGTAGATAAGCGGTTAAGCATCTTACTAGATCAAAAGTATAATAAAAATGAATAACTTTGTATTGCAGTGCGGGTCGCGACGTCAGTGTATGAGCACTTGGGATGCTCTCTTGAAAGGGCCGAGCAAGGTTTGAATTAAAAAACACAGTGTCCTTGACACGGCAGTTGTATACATACATATAAATATGAAGGGAGTGGGAAGAATATTCCCTTTTTACAGCTCATAGCTCTCTGCCGTGTGTAGTAGTAGTAGAGCCAGGACCGGATAAAGTGTTGAAGTCCATGGAAGTAGGTTTTGGCTGCCTTCACTTGGAAACGAACATTCGCCTCGCTTCCTTATCTGGTCTGAATAAAGCAGAACTAACTGCGCGACCGCCATAGCCGAGTGACAAGCAAGTGATGGAACGATTATACCGTCATTGAGCTCACCATATTCGGGTCTTTCACATTCACTGCAATTAAGTAGGCAGGAGAAGTTTTACGTCCATTCTGATCCAAAATCTTAATAACCTCTTTCTCGTTCCTAGAAGAAGAAGTTCAGATCTTAAAAGCTTCTGGAAGGTAGCTTATTTTTTACATATTTTTTTTTTAATGCCTATAATATAAGCAACGCACGACTTCAGATCAAGCCTGGATCAAGTATGCTCTGGGAAGCCAATAAACAATCATTTGAATGCGAGGTAAATTAATAAGATGCGCCCCTTGTTAATTCTAAGCAGGTTTTGGCACCTATCGTACAAAAAAATCAGTTCCAAAGATATAAATAGGCGAGGAACTTCAGTGCAAATATAAAAAAAAGTTTGTCTTCAGAGAGAATCCGCAGTCAGGTGAACATCTTTGGGAGCACATTTTCAACCTAATCCCCTATCGAAAACTTTCGGAGCTGGAGTGTTTTCATCCATCCGTACGAAATAACCTAACCAGCTTAGCCGTTGTTGCTGAATTATATATTCCAATGGACTGGAGAGAACTTTCCTTATCAATGGCCGACTCAGTTCTAATTAGTACCGAATGGCAAAAGTGATTCCGTGTTGGACTGCCAGGTTGAAAATGTTATTGGTGTTTGTCTGATAAGTGAAATAGTCTATAACTTCAATGTTGTGACAGGCAACAGTGACGTGGGAGCCAAGAAGCGTCTACGTTGAGTGTTAGGTTAATGGTAGATGATGCTTGCCCCTCATTAACTACCTAGTACATTCGAGTCTGGAGAAAGCAGAACGACTATACCATCGTCATCGAATAGAGAGTTGGGTTCACTATCTCTGAGTCTGGTGAAGTATACCTTCCATAAACTCAATATACTCTAAACCCCAGTTTCAATATCCTCTTTCTCGTTCTTACACAGGAGGTCTCGATATTAAAATCTTATGGATGGCGCCTTATTTTTTATTCTCAAGAAATCCATACTCCCGCCTTCGTTTGTTCATTTTGTGAATGCGCTTCTCTTTTCTCTGCAGCTTTCGATTCCCATACCGTTCGTGTTGTAGGCGCTCGTAACCAGGTTATGCCACGAATGGCCTAACCATGCATATTCTTCTTGATAAAAAACCCTTTGGTATGCATTTTTCCATGAGCAATCTGCTTCTTAAAAAATTTGCTCACGAATAGACCGCGATAAGATAGAAAATAACTGCGAAATGCCGCAAACCTAGGCAAGCCTGACCGAAATGGGACGGAAAGAGGTCACGAGAAATGTTATCCTCAAAAGAAAAGAATAAATCCAAAAAATTAAGAGTGCAGACAGGCAAATGAAACGATCACTTATCTTTATGCGATTATCTCACTTTAGGCGGAGCTGATTTCGAAATTTCGGGACCATATTTTCGAAGGATCTATCCAAGAAAATCGTCGTCAAGGTTATTAATCTAATAAGGTTCAGCATAGCATCGTAGTTATTGAATAGGAAAGCTTGATAGACAGGAATTATGACATAACACAAGATGTAAACGCTGCATTACATCAGTAGTCACCTATAACCTAACATGATGATAATCCCCGGCGCTTTATGAAAAATATTCAGGTACAGGGAAAAACGAGAGTGCCGTCAATTGCGTCTGCTAATTTCAAAGTCAAGTTTTACGCAATGTAAAGGTAAATTCTTATAAGTCATATAAGGAATAAGCGTGAAATAATGCAGATAATGATCAAAATATGTACATTTTCTTATTTGTGTAGAATCTTTCATCTCCATAGAAACATTTATTTAATACATTAGCCATCTCGGCTGGTTAGCACATATTGACATCATTGAATGATATCTCACAGCTAATTAATACACAGGCAACTGAATTCGACTCTTGTCCGACTCATGATTGATTGAAGTTCACTATAAAATTTAAAAGAAATAGTTTTAGTTACTTTTAAAAAATCGCGTGCTTCTTTCGGGGAAACCCAATATTATGGCAAACTTTTTATATATTTTTCTAAACAACACAATTTACACCAGTTTTGAAAAATTTTTTTTCCCTTTTTTTGTCATGCAAATTAGCAAATTTTAATTCTTTGAAAACCCAAACACAGTGACCGATATTTTGAATTCAAACGAAAAATTATTTATGCTACTTAATCGCATTTGAGTTCGAGCGATTTTTTAAACTGCACTTTTGTATGTGTGTACACATTTATCTGTAATTGAAAAGCGCATGCGTACATATGGATATGGAGCTGTCAATTTACAGTGTAGCATTTGCATACACACACATATATAGAGTGTAATTCCCACAAATTTTGTCACATAAAACAACAGATGCTGTAAAACTCGTGACAAATACTGTTGGCATAAATAATATTACCAAAATATAATTTTATGACCACTTACTGTTAACCCATTCATTTGCCTAACCCCCCGTTGTCATATTTTAATTCACTGGTAAACACTCTGGTTGAAAATTCGTTTCAACGTAGATAATACTTCTTATCAGACATTAAATTTTGTAAAGAAATGTATAATATTGCATCACATTCTTAGCATTTTTTCATTGCGAAAGCTTTGGAAGCAACTTTCTTCATGCTTGGTTTATAAAGGTATTTATTATATATTCCGCTGCTGAATTAATCTTTTTATAAATTAAACTCGTAAAATTTTCCAACCATTGCCAATGCTGTAGACATATGTAACTTTAGGAAGAGGGATATGAACGAATATCACACGCACACAAAATGATAAAATTTTAAAATAATTTTTAATAGTTTTTAAAAATGTGAAGCGCCAATTTTATATAATTTAAGCTAACTAAATTAATAAAAAAAATTATAATAAATAAAAGAACTAAGATATTATTATTAGTAGTGGGTAATGAAATACAACAACGTAAGATATATATTTATTCACAATGAGCATTAATTTAACTAAACAGTTCTACTGTATTTGAAATTAGATGACCAAAGGCATTATTATGTTAATTTACAAATTCAAAATTTTTCTATACATATTAAAAATATACCAAAATATGCAGAAAAAACTTCTAAGTTTTAACATAGAGCATACGATGTGCTAACGATTTGCCCACCAATTTGCCATATTCTATTATTAAATCACGATCATCGTCATCGCCTGTAATCTGAAAGGGAAAGTATATGAAGTATTATAAGTCTTGCAATGAAATTTATTTTTTTATTAAATTAACTTAATTTAAATTAAATTTTAGAATAAACTGCGTAATTAAAATTTCAGAATAAATAAACTGATTGAATTTAATTTAATTTATTTTCGAAGTAAATGACTAAAATTTGATATTAATGAATATTTATTGTAAAGAGAGTTAAACAAAAAAAATTATGTTCAATTATAAACGCAAAATAATTAAAAACACAAAAGCTGCATTTACCTTTTTGTAAATTCTGCTCCTTATAGCGTCCAACATGTTGTCAATGGTGGGTATATTAAGTGACTGCATATGATTTTCAACAACATGGAAAAGGAGCAGAGTTTTCAAAGTATAGCAATAATTTATTGTTATCAATGTGATATAAATTTCATTTTAAATTAAAAAATTTGTTATTTAATTAGCAGAAATTTTAGACGAAAATCTTTAATAATTTTTAATATGTATTAAAGTTAAAAAATTATCTTTTGAGTTTGATATATTTTCCAACTGTAAGTTACGAGTATTATCAATTTTGTAAATTTTCTATTTAAAAAATAAAATATTACATATAATGCTTTTACCATAGTAAATGTATAAAAATTACATTAATTTAATAATGAAATTTATATCTTAGATATTAAACGTAAAAAGTTCTTTATTAATTACTTTTGCAACTCAAACTATTTTTGAATAGAATATTTATGAAAATCAATTTTAAAAAATTTATGCAATCAAAATATTACTCAGTGAACCAAATAAATACAAGCTCTTCATGCAAGTTTACTCAGCGAGTTTGTAAGTTGGCCAAAAATATATTAAAAAACATACAAGAATCTCACCTGAATATACCGATGATAAGTTAAATAAGCATTGTCATATAGCAGCATCACTTTACTTAAGTCAGATGTCTGGAAATTTTCAACGTCTTGCGCATCAGTATTTGAATTTAGACGTTGATATTTACTTTCGTCAAGCTTTCGCCGAGTTTCTGTAATGAAGCAATTGAAGCAATTATATTTCAAAGAAACGCTTTTAAGTTTATAATTCAATTGCATTTTATACCGTCCGTCAGTAAATGCCAAGTATAAGCCTCAGGGCATAACAAATAAGAGGGCTCCAAACGACCCTTATAACGCATTTTGGGGCAAGAATGTATGTAGAAACCCATATAGTAATATTTTAGAGCCGGCACTTTCTTAGCCAATTGTTGAACGAGATCAATTTCTCTGTAATAAGATATATTCATTATTTGAAAAACTAAGTTTTATATTTTTGATTTACCTCAGTGAACCATAGGTGCCCAAGGATAAGAAACTATAATCTGGGTCATAAAAGAAATAAACTGAACTAACGCAATGCGGTAGTATATCAATTACGCCGACAGCAATTAGTTTATCGTCTAACCAATATTGTTGATGAAACGAGCCATAACCATCTTGGGGTCCACTACGTGGTTTGGTATACTAGAAATGTACAAATAGCATAAATAAAAAAATATTTTTAACACTTTTAACACCAATTTAAGCAAAGCAGAGGTAACCTAAACAAAAAATTTTATTTTTCAATTATTTCAACCTTTAGTGGCGATTCTTGTAAAAATTCCAAATAATCAGTAATTTTTGTGGGCGGATCCTTGTGAACGACTGTTTGGTATTTTTGGTAAAGCGCGTAAGAGTTTTTTAGTGTATCCTTAAATTCTTGACCTTCTACGTGTACCAATTTTAACTGTAAATTAGAATTAAGTAGAAGTTAACCAGCGAATTTACCTTAACAGGAGATTTGTAACAAAAACGCTCTAAGCTAGACGGCGTTAAACGATTAGGATCGTCATTGTGTACAAGCAATTGGTATTTCTTATATAAATTAAATGCTTCATCAGTTACGTGCTTTTTATTCGGCGGTATTAAAATCACCTGCAAATAGCAATAACACAATACGGTGCGATGTAAGGAAAAATCGATATTTATGTATGAAGTTATTGTACACATTTGCAAAAATTCTACGATGTATTAAATAATATTCATCCATGTGATGCTTAAAAATTCGACCAAATTGCCACATCAATGAAAACCCATAAACCGTGAAACATTTTTACAGACAAAAACAAATATTACTGTTTAAAAATCGTTCATAAATACCTGTAATTTATGTTTATCGTTTGCGCTAGCGTCAGCAAAATAATCAGCAAGTGTTTTTCCTTGACTAACTTTTTGCTTTTTCGACGCACTAGTTTCACAATTCGATACTTCAATGCCTTTGGCTGCTAATTTTGCTTGTCTACGCTCCAAACGTATTGTTTTCGCTTTCTTCCGCTGTTGATTGCTACCATCACAAGCTGTAAGTAAGTAAATGTTGTAAATTAAGCAAAAGTTTCATAATGTAGAAGTAAGGGATTTATACAGCTTTTGGAAGCACATTCAGTTTCCGTTGCGATTACAGGATTTTCCACCTCGGTTGGTACTTGATCATCAAAGTGTTCGGGGCTTCGTTGCGCTTCTTCATGTCTTTCTTGATTAGCGGCAGCAATAACATCAAAATTTATATTTGGAATAGGCAATTTTGGCTCACGTGGTTCATCATTAATTCCGCCAACAGAAGCTGACTGTTTGTCTGTACCGCCACCACAATCATCTTCATCTATATCAACACAACTTCCGACCGCATCTTTGCTAAAATCACCAGTTCTATCAGTCTCTTCATTTTTATCCTTTTTACCGTCGCGAAGAAACCGTGTCATACGTTTTAAAATTTTTTTATGAGATTTATTCAATTTAAATTCTAAGGCATCACATCTGCAACATACCAATATATTAAACGTTTGTTAATAATGTATCGCATGAATTATATACTTACTTGATAGTGTAACACGGACAGCAAGTTTCATTATTGAGAGGTTTATAGCAATATAGGCCGGAACGACGCCAGCCGCGATCAATTAACTCTTGGTAGTCCTCTGGAAACATTGTATACGAGTGCATACCTGAATTTGAATACATACATATATCAATACATACAAACAATTTTGGATTGCAATTGGTTTAAAAGCGTACAAAAAATAAAAAATCTATGTATGTTGTATTAACTGATAAGCGTGAGATGACGTGACCGAAGTTTTACAATTTAATAGAAATTTATACGAACGAATTCCACTTAATTTAGTTTTAAATATATGTATCTTAGCATATTAACATATTCTATATAAATTTTGTGTAACACAATAAGCAATATGATTCATCATATATGCAACAGCCTTAGGACAAAACCTGTGCGGCATTATTACAAAGCATATGAGGATTATTACAAAGAATATAAGCTTTATATATTTTGAACAAAAAAATGTCACTAGCTTGTAACTGTTACGCCGAAATCGCAACATTTACTTTTCAATATACTGTTGATAAATCAATATATGTACATATTCACAATCACTTAGAACATTGGAATATTTTGATACCACATACCATGGGATATGGAGCACTTTGTGCCTTTGCAATAACCACATCGGCTATTTTGTTTACTAAAATATTGATTTATTGTAAACTTCATTTTAAACTTTTTTTCTCGAAAAACAATGTTAAACGGCTTTTTTCAATGAAACTACGAGCAAATGCGGCAAAATATTACAGAAAAATAAAATTACATACAAAAAAGAAGAAAGAACAAATCTATTGACAGTTGGTATAAATCTTGTGCTACCACATGACTAAAATTAAATTTTGCCTAATAACATGTTCACACGCGTTTTAAGACAGCAAAGAACGTATATGAAATAACAACAATCAAAGAACGTATATGAACAAAGAACGTATATGAATCATTCATATACGTTCTTTGGTATGAGTCTTGTCGCTTCTTATTCAAATACGTTCTTTGGCCAAGCTCCTTCTCCAATTTGAAGTATACGTTCCAATGTTTGTTGATGGTTCCTGTATGATACACTTTGATTTCCATCTCAGAAATACACAAGGAGGAGTTGAGATTCCCTGCCAAGGGATGACCGCAATGCGAAAATTTAACTTAATTTTTTTAATTAAAAAAATTTTCTGTAATTTCTTGGATGTTGGGTCGGACCAGAAGACCAGAACTCGAACTCTGGCCTTTCGAATGGCAGTACGCAATGCTAATCCCTCGCTTATCACCGCCGCCAAGGCTAAAGTGGAAATAAGAATCCGTTAGTATTTAAATTAACTGAGCATTCAAGTTATATGCCACATCGAACACCCTGTTAATGTTGAAGTTCACCATGAAACAGCTGTTTTATGCATACCTCATATTCTCATTTATATGACCAAACAAATGTTCAGAACTTTCTCTCACTTCTTATTGGATTTTCAAAGAAGTCGGATGTTTTATAAATCGGAAGTCAACAATCGTAAAATTGATAATTGAAAAGTGGCGCGGTGCGGTTGTCGAGTGATTTCACATATACGTATATGTATATAATACATACGTATTAAAAGGTTCGGCTGATTATTAATAATACAATAAATTAATTGATTTGTGCCAAATCTTTCAGTTAATTGTGATCAATTGCGGTCGGTCATTGAATTAAATAGTTTTATATTCTACATATATGTATTAGTATAGAAATTGAAGTGCGCAAGTTTTGTTTATAAAATACCTGTATACATATATATGTATGTACGTATGTTTTTCTATGTAAATATGTGCACATAATATACGTATGTATATTTGCGTGAAAAGTAATTCGCATAACGAGCAAAAATAAAATAACAAATAAAATAAGTAATAATCAAATAAAAATAAAAGATTCCAATAAGAATTGTGCAAGCACATGTCCTTTACGTCACAATTTGTGTATTTTTTTTTTTTTTTTGTTATTACGTATTCAGTGTCATATATGTATGTGCAAATACTCGTACGTCCAAACATTTGTGTACATTTCCTATATATGTTGGTATACAGAAATATACAAAATTGTTCATACCAAAATTTATGTGAAACTGCCGATTTATTTATTATTTGTTGTTTTTTATTGAAAAAAGACGCAGGAAAATATAAGTAAATCTAGTGTTTATAAAATTTTGAACGGCTTAATTCTAAATAAATGAAATAACCACCTTTAATGAGTGAAAAGCATACAATTTTTTATGTATTTTATGTATGTATATATGTATATACACTCATGTATCCTTATGCATACACATACATTTTATCATTAGTTCAAAATAATATGCCAAGTTATGTTTACAGCACAAATTTTCGGAATAAGAGTCAAAATTTAAAATATGATAAGTTTTCTAATGAAATGAGTTCAGAATGAAAGCGCAATTTTTAATAGAGAAAAACAGTTTGATTCGTGTAGTACAATGACGAAATTTTGAATTGAAAAAAAAAAAAAAACTCCATTGAAACTAAAATAACAACCGTAATATAAAACAAAATCTTTTTCGAAAAAGTGAAACCTACTACGAATTGAAACATATTAACTAGAATTATTGCCGTTTTCTTTTATGAAACTGAAAACAAATTCTGTAAATTAGAATATAGAGGCATATCAGTTTTAAGGAAAAATTCTGTGCAGTTCGAATATTTTTATCAGATGCTGTATAAACAAGTGCACATTCGAAAAATGATGCAATTTTGTGTTTTCTCTCTTTCCACTATTACACGAATAAAGTTCATGTGTAATAATATATATATATATTACTTTTGATCGGATAGTAAAATGAAATCCATTACGTTGTATTAAGTAAATAGATTAGCGATTGATTTTTGTTTATAGCAATATATAAAAGCAATGTTGCAAGCAATAAATGTCAGCATTTAAGACAGGGAGTCTCAATTTAGCATGCCGGCACAAAATCGCAGAAAAATCAAACCGATAAAAAGAAAAGAAGGAAATAAATAAACACTCAATTAGTTACATATCTATGTATATATAAAAAAATAGATTTGCTCAAAATAATAAATTAATAAATGCGGATTCTAGGGCTCTACAAAAAGGGACAAAACAATTAATTGAATTATCGAATGGGAAACAAATTAAACACTTTTTCATAAAATTTTAATTGTAATTAATTTTTTTATGCACCGGACCGACAAATTCGAATCAGGCGCAGCCTTAGGCTGCCTTTTCCAAAGAAATTATTCCCAAAAAATCCAATCTTCAAATTTCGAAGCCACACACTCGAGATAGCGGCAAAAATTACCCTATACATATATATATTGCGGGCGCGGTAGCCGATTGCTTAGCATTGTGTACTGCTGAAGCAACATTCGGAAAGTCTCGGGTTCCAATCCTGGTGTCGTACTAACATCGAAAGAGTCATAGCAAATTAATTTAAATAAAAAATTAGGCCTCGGCAGAAAATGTCAACCCCTCCGAGTATATTTCTGATATGAAATTAAGCTCCTCATCAAAAACCATTACACAATACAATACAAATGTCAATTTGCTCAAAGTTATCGTCCTTTTTCTCGCCAAAAATTTTAAGGCAAGAGAAAAGTAATTACGAACGTTACATTCTATAAACTCATATATGTATGTATGTATGTTTAGTTAGGTTAGGTTAAACTGACTGGCTTATATGTCAAACATAGACTTTAGTCCTTTTAGTCGCAAAGGACGTCGACGTTCCCTAAAGGTAGATAAAGATGAGCCTTCCACTTACTAGTTACTTACTAGTCCTCTGAACCACAAAGCGCCTATACTGAATTCTTGGTAAGGCCATTAAGAAACATAGGAGATGCTCTAAAGTCTCGCTCCCAATTTCCTTACATTTCATGCATGTGTATTACTGTCAGTAATATCCTTTTCACACGCATATGATGCCAGCAGGTTATGGCCTGTTATTTGGTTCACAAAACTTTTTTAGTCTCCGACATCGTGTAAGCAAAAATCAACTGAATTTTCTTTTGCTGCCTGGCGGTAATGCAGGCCTTTAAGACATTCCATCTCGGTCTAATATGTCTTTTAGCTTTTTTGTCAGTTGCCCAACTAATGCGCGCTGGACATCAACATTATTAGCAGTGCTGCTAGAACTTTTTCAAATATCCAACTGAAAAAGAATTTAAAATCAGCCATAAAAAATGTAATAAATGCTAAAAAGGAAGCTGAGAGCTTAAAGCACATTTAAAAGCTCAAGAAGTATTTACCTTAAATTCCAGTGTCACAGAACTACCATAGATTTTTCCCCATTAACCGTCTTTTATAATAATCGCTAAAGCGCTTTGAGTACAATAATTTGTTGAAATTCTTTAACAAGGAATACTTTAAAACAAGAAAATATAATTTCCGATTTCATATTTAAAGAATTAGTGCAGATACCAATTGGACTCACACATTTTACGGCAACGAGATTCCAAAAACCACTTTTATTACGAAAAAATGTATTCGATGTCAGTCCGAAAACATTAGCTTACCAGGTCGGTCAGCGTAATGGCTTTCAACAACTGCACCATCAGCAAATTTTGATCCGTCCGTGTGAGTGTTATAAGCTCCAATTTGAATATACGAGTATGTACAGATGTGGCGGAAAGTTTTCCATTTCAATCGTGATTAATCACATTTGATTTTCAACACGCTGACCCTTTTGAATTTGTAAGCTTTTCTCGATAAATTATTATTTTCATTTAATTAATTACTGCACATACAAATAAAATAAATAAAAAAATAAGTATATAAAATTTTTTTTGTTTAAATTTAAAAAAAAATGCTTTTATTTTTAACAACAACTTTTTTTCCCTGCTACAGCTAGTGAAGTGTTGAAAATTTCAATAAATGTTAAATATAAAAATAACAATATTTTTTTGAAAACTTAATCGATAGATATCACCGATATTTTCAACCTGGAAATATAAATGTTCAAAACCTGTTGCCGGAAATCAGTTTGGATATTTCTTAAAGAGCTTTAATGCACACTTTTGCTAAAATGCATTCCAACGAAATTTGGATTTCACCTGATTTTAAAAATCATTAGGTTTGATAAGGGAAAATTGAAAAATAAAAAATAAGAAACCCAACAACATTTCAGTTTTATTGTAATAACAATAATAATAATGCAAAATTGATGTACAGGGTTATCTATTTTGTAGTTTGGAAAATCAAATAATAAATATAAAAGTCAATCAAATAACCGCTTTGCGAATTTTGGCAAACTTCAATCCGTTTGGGGTAATTTTCGATCACTTATGGCACATATTGGGCGATATCTCAGGCATAACTTGACGAATAATGGGTTTTCAGTTTATACGCATAAACACGGTCTCGCTGTTGTCGTTTTCAAAAACGTAAGGTCCAATCACATCTCCGGGTTTTTGGGTGTAATAGTTTCTCTTCCATTATACGATGATTCTCGTAGCACCAAATGCGAGAATTTTGCTTTTTTTACGTATACAAAAATTTTGCTCGACAAATCGCCGTCCTCTGCTCATTGTTCAATGGAATGGGCTTTTACACTAACGATTTCTACCGCGGCTGTAGGGACGACGAAGAGGAGGAGACCATCGAGCACTACCTCTGCCACTGTGCAGCCTTTACATCCGCGCGACACAAGTTTCTTGGGAAACACTTCTTCGACTGTCTCGCTGAGGTGGCCTTAGTGAATATTGGAAATCTCGAAAATGGTTCGAGCATTTGAGAAGGTGAAGGTAGGAGCCTAAGCGGCATCACAATGGGCCTATTGACTAAGCGGCATCACAATGGGCTTTGACCAGCAGCGGCATCAACTCAACGCAACGCAACGCATTGTTCAGGCAATCAATCGACGTATTTACGGCATTGTGAATGGTTAGCTGGCTTCAATTGTTGTGTAAGCTGTACTTTTTATGGATGTAGGTATAAGTGCAAGTGCAAAATACGTCACAATATACCGTAAGAAAATTCCAGCTCTTAGAACGTCGAGAAATAGACACATTCGAGTCTTCGGCTAGACTTTCACTTACAGTGGCGATATCTGAGGTGGAGCCGGTTAAACGAAGATGCACAGGCCTTATAATATCTGTAATCGATCCAGTCTCTTCAAATTTCCTGAAAATTTTACAAACTGCGTGAGTAGTTGGACACTTATGTTCACCGAAATCCTCTCTTAAAGCACGAAAAGTGGCCATATTTGAATCAACGCCCTGTGCGGTTGTTGGCGATCACTTTTCATACCTTAGTTTTAACTAAAACAAAACATGTTTGGTTAAATATTTAAGTCCGACAGTTGTCAAAATACATTCTCGTTTTTTTGAAGCCACATATTGAATATACCTATATATAGACATACATATTTACAAAAGAAAATGTTGAAAATCAAAAACCTCTATAAAAAAATGCTGACAGCAGAGCTTGAAAATTTGGCAAGAATTATTAAGTGCTTAGGAAAGCATTAATAACGTTTCTGATCGAATTATGATATATGAATACAAGAACAAATATTTTTAAATAATTACCTACTTTACCATGTCATATTGTAGTGTATTTATGTATTTATTATTGATTTCGTTCTTTTAACGATATTCACAAAATTATTATTATTTTTTCTACCTAGATATATGCCACCTGCAAATACTTGCATACGTAACACATTTTGCGCGTAGTTAATTTTGAAACTTACATTCACAACCCAGACACAATGGAGTCCACCTTTGACGACTGGGATTTTGCGGTATTGATTACCATATTGGTAATCTCGGCTATGATTGGACTTTATTATCGTTACACTGGAGGCAAACAGAAGACAATCAAAGAATACCTAATGGCCGATCAGAGTATGACTACACTTCCGGTCGCTGTTAGTTTAATGGCCAGTTTCATGTCGTCCATCTCGTTGTTGGGTGTTTCCAGCGAGAGTTACCAGTTTGGCACTATGTTTTGCGTAATCAATCTCTCCTACATTATTAGCACACCGATAGCGGCATATTTATTTTTACCGGTATTCTATCGTATGCGCAGTATGAGTGTTTATGAATACTTGGAACGACGGTTTGGCCATTCAACACGTCTCGCCGCATCAATTTCATACTCCGTACAAATGATTCTCTATATGGGCATAGTACTTTATGCACCAGCGTTGGCACTCGAAGCGGTGACAGGCATTAGTAAAGCCACTGCCATACTGGTTATTGGCATAATTTGTACCTTCTACTCGACAATTGGTGGTCTCAAAGCTGTCTTAATAACTGATGTATTTCAATCGCTTTTGATGTTTTGCGGAATTTACTCGGTAATTGTGGTGGCTGCAATTAAAGCCGGCGGTTTATCACCAATTTGGCAAGTTGCTGTAGAAAGAAATCGTTTCGAATTCGCCGACTTCTCTTTGGATCCCACGGTACGTCACACTTGGTGGAGCCTACTAATTGGTGGCATGGTGACATACCTGTCATTGTACGGTGTCAATCAAGTGCAGGTACAACGGCTCTTGAGTGTACGAGATTTGGAAAGTGCCCAAGCGGCTCTGTGGTGGGTTTTACCGATTTTGTGTATACTTAGCTTCAGCACCTTATTTACCGGTCTGGCGATATTATACTACTACAGAAACTGTGATCCCCTATTAGAGGGTAGAATACAATCGAGAGATCAGCTCATGCCTTTGTTTGCAGTGGATACTATGGGTAAGTGATTCAATTTGATTTGGAATTATTTTAGGCAGCGCTCGTAAGTAGGTTTCAAGTGCATGAAGAAAGCATTCTTGGTCGCAAGGCTCATATATACCGGCAAGGAGTAGGCTTTCAAAAACCTAGCTAAAGCATTCTACAGCACAACTCATTATTCCCAAACACGCAACGTGAACGCAATAGCAAATATGAAGCGGCTGAGCTTCTCTTCAAATGTGTTGTGTGTGTTTTCGCGTTGTTTTCAACAAATGAAGAGACCACCTCTGAACGGCCGATGGATATTTATGACGAGCTTTAAAAGAAATACACTCGAATGGCTCGATGTTTACTCCCGAGGGGCGACCACGATTACAAAAATTAACAACTTAAATCTCTATTTAAAGTAAACTTCTATTGTTTTGGATGTTGGACGGGGGCCAGGACTCGAACCAAGTACGCAATTATAGAAAATAACTGGATACTTCGAACTCCTGTAATTTGCATTATACACAATTTCCTACAAACTTTGACTTTTCCAACTTTTTTTCGTTGGAATGCGTCCCGCTTAGGACTTCCACGACCTACTTTTCCTGAGGGGCTGTGAACTTGCATTATACTGATTTTTGTCCGACGGGCGGAATAAGTTTTTGGACCCCACACATAGAAAAACTAGTGCAATAAAAAATGAAAATGATAATGAGATAAATCCTGTACAAGAGAGCCTCCCTTTTCAGCTTGAAGTTTCCCTAATATGCTAACTTTTGTAGCTGCCCACACATATCTTTAAAATTCTTACATCTCCACAGGGGAGTATCCGGGCTTGTGTGGTCTTTTCGTATCGGGCATCTTCTCCGCTAGTCTATCAACTGTTTCATCAGCCGTCAGCTCATTGTCAACTGTCACACTGGAGGACTATATTAAACCATTGTACAAGCATTTCAAAAATAAACCCTTACTGGATGCGAACTCAACACTGCCGAGTAAAATTATGGCATGCATTTACGGATTGGTCTGCATCGGCATGGCGTTCACAGCCGATTCCATGGGCGGCGTACTACAAGCATCACTCACTATTTTCGGCATAGTTGGCGGTCCACTACTCGCGCTCTTCACCCTCGGCTTGTGTACAACGCGTGCCAATCAACGTGGTGTACTTTTGGGTCTACTTCTCGGTTTAATATTCTCATTTCAAATGGGTTTCGGTGGTCCAAAGCCACCGGAAAAGACATTAGATTTCAAAGATGACGGCTGCAGTAATAAAAATGGCACTTTGGTGGCGGCAGCGTTAACGCAGATGCTAAACTATAATACAACAGTGATATTGGAATCGTCATCGAGAATTGAGCAGACCGCAGTTGAATATAATTGGTTCTACAGATTGTCGTATTTGTGGCTCTCGGTAATTGGCTTTTTAATCACAACAATTGTGGGTTATGCTTCGAGCTTCTTGTTGGAAAAGTTCAAATTGGCTGATAATAAGCAAATTTATTTGGATAACAAACAAATCGATGTGGAGTTATTTATACCACCGCTAGCACGAAGATTGAGGGAGCAGAATGAGAGTAATGCAGAAGAGTTGACTAAGTTGGAGAGCATCTAAGTAGGATATTTGAGTTATTTAAGTAAAAATAAAAAGTAAGAAATTTTAGAGGCAAGTATTTACATATATGTACTTAGTTATGAGAAGAAGAATCTAATAATTTATATGTAAAATATTATAAACTCAGGCTTTAATTTATTTAATGTTTCTTAAATTTAATAAAAAAAAATAAACAATTTCAATAAATTTTATTAATTTTAAATTGTAACATTTACGTACCTCATAAATATTTAAACTAGACGTTTAGAGTTCTTAATTGCATTTATTGTTACTAAAGTAGTGTTCGTAGTGTATGTATGTATTCCTCAGATTGCAGCCATTTTGAGATTTACATTACATATACATAGATATTAAATTTTACTTAAATTAAATTAAATTTTGTAGTGTTTCTGCTTTGAATAACTTTTTTTCTTTTTTCTATAATTATCGTCTATTTTAAAAACCAATTAAAAACAGTTTTTGTGAATAAATATTTCAAAATTTTTTATAATTTTAACACATTGTGGCGATAAATGGAGTTATTACTTAATTTTTGAAATTCTCTTATTTTGATATATGTACGTACGAAGTAATATACTTAAAAATATAATTAAATTAAATACAATAACAAATGTACAATGCAATTTTGGTATGTGCTCAGGTCCACTTAATAATATTGTAGTAAATATATAATTTTTTTTATACACTATATTTTATTTTAAAACACTACTTTTGAAAAATGTAGTCTATATTGTTCCTTGTCGAAATAAATGCCTAAATATGTTACTTAAAGTTTAATAAACTCATTTTTTTTGGAAATTATAATTAAACGTTAAAAATTTATATACAATATATTTAATTTTATTTTAAAATAATTTTTTTAAGTTTTAAGAAAATTTCCATGTGTTAATGAAATAAAATGTTGAAAACACTTAATTTGGAATTATTGTTTTTTGTTTTGTTTTCCCCAAAAACTACATGCTTTTGTATGTCGTGCCAAAAGTCTTCCATTTTAAATGTAGTTTGCAAAGAAGTTATGCGGTTGTATTAATGCTGATATGCTGGGCAGAAATGCAAGTTGTTGTTGTTGATGATTATTCAACACAGGGATGAGCAAATAAAATAATATAAAATAAATTATCAAATTAAATAACTATACTGAAATATAAACAAAATAAAATAATATACAATAAATAAAATAAAATGAATTAATATCAATAAAAATTAAATAGAAATAAAATAAACAAAACTAAAAATTGGAAAAAAATTAAATTAAATAAAACAAACCTAATAAAATAACATGAAATAAAATAAAAAAATAAATAAATTAGCTTAAAAAATTATCTACGTAAAATGAATTAAAGTTACAAAAAATATATAATAAAATAGCATTAACTGTAACAAATTAAAATAAAATAAAAGAAAAGGAAAATTAAATTAAAATAGAACGAAATCAAATACACCAACATTGACGAAAAAATTAGATTAGCATAAGGTGCAGTAAACTATGTAAAGTAAAATAAAAATTATAATATAAAATAAACAACTAAAATAACATAAAATAAAAAGATCTAAAATAAAAAAAGAATAAAAATAAATAACACAAAATAAAAAATTAAAAACAAGAAAATTATACAATATAGGTTATATTTAACTTATAATAAAAAATAGAAAAAAATAAAATAAAAAATATAAAACAACTATATTACAAAAAAAAAAAAAATTAAATTAAAGTTAAAATTAAAAAAATTAAGAATAAACACAAAATAATATAAGAAACAATTTAAACGGAAAACATTAAAAAAAGTAAATACAATAAAGAAACATTAAATAACATAAAATATAATACAATAAAATAAATAAAATAAAATAATATAATTTAAAATAAAGTAAAATAAAAGCATATAATTTTAAATAAAATAAAATAAATACAATATTAGTCTTATTTTACCTGAAGAAGATTAAAAAAAAATAAATAAATATATTAAAAATAAATATATTATAAAAAAATAAAATTAAAATTAAAAAATTAAAATTAAAAAAACTAGGATTAAACACAAAATAATATAAGTAAAAATTAAAACGGAAAACAAAAATTAAATGCAATTAAATAACATAAAACATAATAACATAAAATAAATTAAATAAAATATTATAATATAAAATAAAGCAAAATAAAATCTTATAATTTGAAATAAAATAAAATAAATATAATAGGAGTCTTATTTTACCTGGAGAAAATTAAAAAAAAAAAATAAAAAACAAACATATTATAAAAAATATAAAACTGAATATTAAATGAAATAAGATAAAACACAAAATAATATAAGTCAAAATTAAAACGGAAAATAAAATAAAATAAGTAAAAAATATGCTTATATAAAATATATGAACAAAATAAAAATAAAATAAAATAAAATAAAATAAAATAAAAGAAAATAAAATAAAATAAAATACAATACAATACAATAAAAAAAAAAATAAAAAAAATAAAATAAAATAAAATAAAAAAAATAAAATAAAAATAATAAAATAAATTAAAATAAAATTATATTATATATAAAATAAAAAGAAAGTAAAAAGAAACTATTTATAATGAAATCAGAATGCTAACGCTGTATAGCAAACAAATATTAGAATGGCCAGAGGTGCAGTAAACTAAACTAAAATCAAAATTAAAAAATAAAATAAAATAAAATAAATAAATTAAAATAATAATATCAAGTAAAAAATGGAATGAAATAAAAAACAAACAAAATAAAAGAAATGAAAAAATTAATAAAAAACAGCAATATTAAAATAAAATCAAAAGAAAAAAATAAAATACCATAAAATAAAACAAAATCACATAAAATAAAATTAAATAAAGTAAAAAATTGTACTTTTAAAAAATGTAAGAAAAAACAAATTAAAAAAATAAATAAATAAAATAATATAAGCACAAATTAAATTGAAGAAATAAATAAAATAAAAAAAAGTAAAAAGAATTAAAGTAAAAAAATATATGTAATATATAAGAAAATTAAGAAAAATAAAGTCTAATAATTTAAAATAAATAATTGGCTTCAAAAGTTAAATTGGAAAAGATGAATTAGAAATTCCAGAATATCAGCATATATACAGCGTAATATTAATAATTAATAATAAAAATCATAACAAAGCACACAAAATAGTTTACTAGTACATACATATTTATTTTCAGATACAGGTATATTCACAAACTTAAATACAATATAAAATGTACCTTATAAACGTAAAAAAACATAAAAAATATACATAAAAAAATATATATGCCGGTAAAAAAATTTATACACACATTCACACATACCTATATGTACATACATATGCATCTATATATAATACAATGACGTTAAAAAGTTACTAAGAGCTTTTACTTACTTATATACAATAACATAAGTATGTATGCATAAACATACATACATATATAACAAAATGTCCTCAGCAAATGTAAATGCTCTATTTTTTAATGAAATATTTCTACAAACTGTGAAATAAGTAATTAAAAAAAGTCTCAAACTCTTGTGACCTTGAATGCAAAAATAAATAATATATAATATATACATACATACATATAAATTATACATAAAAAAAACACTTACACGCCGGTGTAAATGTGCACGAAAATTTTTATGTTTATTGTGAGCACGTGGAAATCTGAATATACAAATATTTGAAATTTCAAGCCCAGCAATGACTAAGAATATATATATATATACGTGTACATAACATATGTATGTATGTATGTTTGTATTTATGCAATGTATATGTATACTATAAATCAAATTATTGTATAAAATTATAAAAAGTACAACAATAACTATATCTAGGGAGTACAAATACTTTCAGACATGTTGTAAATTTTATATGTTATCTGAATAAAAATAGAAAAAAATATTAATAATAATCTGTTCTATGTGTAAAGATATTTAAAAAATGTATATTAATTATCTAATCGTAACGATAGGTTTCACGTCAATCGAATAATTTCTATCGTTTCGATTTGCAAAGATTAACGTTAAAGCAATTATCTAAATGAATTTCTTTCCGTTTTCACCCGAGACGAGAAGCAGTCGTGAATGTTTGAGCATCTCAGAAATATATACACTTACACATTTATAAAGTTTAAGTGTTTGTTTGAAGTGATCTCAGAAACTACCCGGTAGAGTATACTGAAAATTTTCTGTTTTGCTACCTTGAAAAATTTTTACGAAATTTTTTTTTTCAGGATGTAAACCAGGGATCGCATTATTCGAAAAAAATTATATTTAGAGTCCGATTTATTTGAGATTCTTGTTTTTTTTTACTGGGAAAGGAATCATCGACAGATCGACAATATACGCCGAAATCTTCCCACAAACGGCCTCTCGGGAAGCAACATGCATACTCCAAGGGTAAGTCTGTTGATACAGCCCTGCATGATCTAGTCGGGAGCATCGAAAAAGAACTTGCCGTGAAAGAATATAAACTAGGCATTTTCCTCGATATCGAGGGTGCTTTCAATAACATTCTCCCTGCCTTCGTAATAGAGGCTCTTCAGAAAATGGGTCTTCAACAGTCCATAGAGTCTCTTCTGAGGAGCAGGATCATCTTCGCTGGCGTTGCCAGACACATAGCAGGAGGCACCCTTTAAGGTGAAGTTTTATCACCACTGCTGTGGTGCTTCACAGCGAACACGCTGTTTGGGAAACTGCGCGTTGTGGCGTTGTGGCATACACTGACGACTTTGCCCTTACAGCAGCAGGCAACATTAAGCGATTTACTCCAAAACGCTCTTTGAATAGTTGAGAGATGTCGCAGAGATAGCGGGCTGGACGTTAACCCTGATAAAACCGAGATGGTGTTATTTACCCGGGGGTAAAAGCCGCATGCCTTTAAACCACCCAAACTAAAGAACGTGGAGATTACCCTCTTTCCCGAAGTGAAATACCTTTTGATGATCTTAGTTAGCTAACTAAATTGGATCCGTAACACGACAGAAAGATCAAGGAAAGCTATAACTGCACTATACGCCTGCAAAACGGCGATGAGAAAGAGATGGGGTTGAAGAGCGGGTATCGTGCATTGGACAAAAAAATCGATAGTTAGAC